ATCAGAAAAGAAGTTAAGACACACTTAATGTTCACAAAAGAGCACACAATAAAACAACCATTAAAAGAACAAATATTTTGAAGGACATTATGCAACATAGCGTAAATATTGCAAAATTATCATACTAACATAATCATCTATCTGAATTTCAACTTCGTTAAAATAGCAATAAACATTTAATAAATACCTACTATTTGGTAATAAAAGGGGGCATCATCAGCATGAATAATTTGGTCAACAAAATGGTAATACCAGCAACCTAAAGTCATTCAGAAAAAACAATAATTTGGCAAGCTAAGTCCTGAAGGTGAGATTCTCTGCAAGCAGTAAGAGATACAAATGAAATCTGAATATCAAGAGAGCTCTCATATGCAGGAACCCTCCTTAATTTCCTCTGAGACTTGTTTAATGTGGGATTTGAACAACCTCTGTACTTGTCCAGTTCAGCAGCAAGAGGGGAGAGCCTGCTGTGCAGGATAGCCAAGTGCAGGAAGGGGAGAGTCTCTTTGTGCCTAGCTGCCTGTGAGTGAAGTAGCATGCTGGCAGGGCTGGGAGTTGAACTGAGTTGAGCATCAGAATCGATGTAATAACTGGGCCAGGCTGGGAAATAAATGTGAAGGCAGGGCCAGACAGCACCTTCCAGTACCACTAAGCCATTAGACCACACACTCCTGAAATGTGCCTCATTACTACAGAGCAGTGACTGGGACACTGTGAGCGTTTAGCAACTTATTTTATCACATCTTTATTTTCCTGTGGCAATGCAATAGAGTAAATAGATCCTTAGGAGACACTTCAGGAAATATAAGTTCTCCCTACTGATGCAGATCTTTCGGGCCTTCCTTCTTAAGGTGCAGTTATTAGAGGCTAGAGAAAATTTTCCAAATTCACAAGCTAAATTTCATGAAAGAAATCATACGCAGGGCACTACCTGCATTTCTTTCTCAAATGAAGATATCATAAGACTTATCTGATTTGTTAAAATAATTTATTCAATATAGCAAATGACTGTGGTGGGATTGTATTCATCAAGTTCCGCATATTCTACTCTTCTAAAGGTCTGTGGTCAGCCAGCAGATTATTAAAAGCCACCTACATAAATCTATTAGGGAAATGAGAATGGAACAAAGGTAGATACAGGAGAGCTGTGGCACCAATTCCATACAACATAAATTCCTCATCATGCACCAGCAGGTTTCCTAAACTATAAAACGCTCAAAAAAAAGGTGACCTTCATGTAATAGTTAGGCTTATCTCATATTGTAATATTGCCACCATGACATTCATCATGCATGTAAATAAATATATGTAAAAAGTAAAAGTAAAGCATTTGATTCAGTATGACATCATATTTACCATACTATATACTTCAGTGATGTGATTCTTTATGATCTATTAAATGTTATCTCAAAAGTGTATCAAATTGATCTCAGTGAGTGCTCATTATTTTACTAAAACAAACCCGCAAATCCTTAATTTTGTTTTTTTTTTTCATATAATTAAATAAAACCCATCCATATTAATATTCTCCAGAGAAGTGGCAGTTTGTCCTGATTAAAAAAAAAACACAACACAACAAAACCAAGCAAAATACCACCACAGTAATTTACTATTACAGCAAAAGTACAACTCCAGTAAACCCTTTTGTTTTACATCTTTTAGCACTGTCACATTAATGCTTTCCCCATTAGTCAAAGAGATCAAAGAAATCTGATGTCTCACAAGGGGTTTGAACAATAGTGAAGAGAACTCTTAACTCCTTCTCAGTTCTTGAGCACTGTCCAAATCAGATGAACAAAATGTTGCTGTACTCAGATGAGACCTGTGTGAAATGGGACTGATAATCTCAGGAAATTCAGAATAAAGTTAAGAACCTTTCACCTTGCATATGAGTTTGACTCATGCACAGCTCTGTAGTGAATCTCTCAATTGTTCTTCAGACTTTCATGATTTATTTTGTAGTCTCAAACATTATCTTAGAAGAATACGTCTATACTATCACTGTATGAGATAGCAAGCAAAACCAGTAGAGACCATGAAATACAGATTGAAATGTTCTCTCCTTACTGAAATGGGCTATAAATATCAGATGCCAGTCAACACAGGGCAGTTTATGTTTGTTAGTTTCTACACTCTACTCAGGCAGTGAAGACATTCATCTTCAGTATTTTAAATACTGTATTTTATAAACTAATTGAATATATGTCCATAAAATAAACTATTATATTCATTTTAATTTTAGGAAAAACATGTTAGACTTTGAAAAAACATATATATTGATTTATCAAGCTGTAAGAAATATTTGGGCTGCTCATACCCAACTACACTGACAAATTTGATAATTCTCATGTCAGAAAAACAGTTGTTAAATGAGTGTCTTCAGTGTCTCATTCAAGAGGCTTCTTGTCTCAGACTTTGTCTATGCTAGATAGTTTCACTCAGGTTACCCTAATGTCCCTGCGGCTGTTTCAGTGGTTCCCCAGTGCAGTGGGTAGATAATCCACTGCCTCTTCTGCTGCAACCTGGAGTACTGCCCTTTGTGAAGTCCTTGATGTGTATTTTAAGTCTGCCACTGTGAAATTCAGGACATGCAGCTCAAGAAGAGCTGGGGGATTTCAGAACAAACCAGTATGCCCTGTCTCATGATTTACTTTTTTTTTTTTCTTAAGATGACACCAAATGACAGTGCACCTTCTGATAGCAATCCACTGTGGAAAACTTCCAGGGAAAAACTACAGCATGTGTCTTTACTGCTCTCATCTTGCTGTTTACATGTTGCAGAGCTATTATAGCTTACACACAGTTCTTGGAAGGTGCTTTTTTTGTTATCCGAAGATTCTGAAGCTGCAGCAGATCATTCCAGATTCCCATCACAGCTTAATCCTCTCACTCACTGCTCACAGTACTGGCCCCAAGTGGTTGCTTCAGATGCATATTTGCTCAATGAATGCACATGGAAGTGGTCAGCTCACTTATGTGCCCTCAGATCTTCACAAGTACACTACAAAATTGACATTTTCCCCTACACTAGAAATTGCTGATCAATACAACGCATACGTTTCTAGAGAAAAATTGGCAGCAAGATGGAAAAGCAACATGTAAAGCCAGAGAGGTAGATTGAAACATAAAGATCTGTGGGGCTAAAATCTTACAGCTACCGACAGTCCCACCCTGAACACTATGTAGAAAACCTCAGAATACATTGCAAACACCCTAATGTCATTTACTGTATGAGGGTATGGGGAGCCACTTGCATCAAAATCCAGGTTTGTATAGATGCAGTGACAAGGCAAACACAGAAAGACTCTGCCAAAATAGCTAATGTCAGCATCAGTGCCTTTCCAGAACTTCTCCTAGCATGCTTTTCTTCTATTAATTGGACCTGAATAACATTTTTATAATCTTAAATTATAAATACCACATGCAGGTTGTTAGTTCATACATTTGGCATGGTGGCATGTAAGTCATTGGGCTTCATGCTGGAAGTATAGGAACAGGTTAGATAAACACCTTTCAGGAATGTCATCAGTATTCTTTCACAGCAAAATTCACAGCAAATCCTTTCCATTTCTATTTTCTTGATGATTTGACATAAACCAGCTACTTGGCACATCTGTAACAATTACCTTTTCTATGTTTTAACTGCAGGTTACATAAGACCATAAGACTGCTTCAAGTCTCTGCACTGTAGACAAAGATTCTGTTTAGGATCAACAATAATTTTACAGTAACCTACAAACTAGTACTAAGTTTAATATATTTGTTCAGAGACTGTTCAATGCCAGTAGCAACCAAGGTCTCTCCAGTGGCTGATGTTTGATTCTTTTCAACTGTCTATCAAACACCCATAAAAAACCAAGAGCATTCATACTGTGGCAAGACACCACAATGGTACATATCTAAGTAGTAAAGATTCTGCAGTGGACCCTGCTCATGTCAACTCAAAATCTGTACATTTTGTGTAGCACCTGGCTAATGATGTTGGTGTCTGAATATGAAAGTTTAGTAACTCCATTCAATTGAGTCAGAGGTACAGTACTGCATTTCACGAGAACACTACCATTTATGTACCTATATATTCTGTATCTATGTATATATATACATAAACAGATGTACTCTTCCTCAAGTATATAGCTAAAGTATTTTGAAATAGGACAGATATACAGGAAGAAAATTCTCAAGTTCAGATTTTGAATTTTTAAAATCCTGTACATTGCTAATTCTGAAATATTTATTTCTATTTTGATTTGGGAAACAGGACTGAATCCATTAGTATTTGGTGTGGAAAGTGAATAAACAGTTTCATTAAGGAGACATCCTAGCTCCAAAGTTTATTGGGGTGAGCCTGCTCTTCGGCTGCATATAGTGTACTTTTAAATAGGGCTGTTAAAATACCAAACAAAATGTCAAAGATCGTCAGGTCTGGAGTTTTTATAAATTGTTTAGACTGGGGATAATTCGGGTTTTGTACCTCATGCCTTGCAGATCGCACAGCATGGAGATAGGAAAGGGAAGGAGGCCAGGGAGAGAAGTCTGAGGGCAGCCAGACTGGCAGAAAGGCACTTCCTGGGCCACAGTTCTCCCCAGCGGCTCCTCTTCGTCCTCTCCCACACAGCCACTGTTTGCCTCCCCTCTCTCTGGGTGGTATACTGAGGTTCTGTACGTGACTAAACAATATTAAATCCAAAATATTGTAAAAACACACTTCAAAAGGCAGTGCCACAGCCACTTGCAGAGATGTGAATGCTATAAGTAACTTCGCCGCTAGCTGTGGCAACCCTGGACTGTGAGCACCCACAACTGCTTCTTCATATAGACAGCAAGACCGGCCCCAGGCCATCCCCAGTGAGAACTGGAAGAGCTGCCACACCTTCGTGAACTTCCTCCTGGCCCTCCTCCCAGCACCCTGCTGGAACAGAGCAGCTGAACAACACCTCCCTTCAGCCCTACTTCACTCCACCGCCCTGGCTCTCCCACCCACAGTGTGGCCCGTACCTCACCTTCAGCTCCCGGGAGGCCACGCGGGCCGCCAGCTCGATGACACAGCCCACCGCCATGCGTGCCGCCCCGGCCGAGTGCAGCTCGTTCCAAACGGTGTCACTGTCCACCTGAGCAAACAGCCGGCCCCGGGAGGAAGGCAGGGAGAGAGGGAGAGAGAGAGGGAGAGGGAGAGCATGAGAGAAAACAAACCCGTGAGGCAAGGCTGGCAACGTGACAGCCCATGTACAATAACATCAGTCTTCCATCCTGGCCAGCTGAAAGGCCTTCTGGACATGGCTTTGCTTATGCTTTTTCTCTGCACGGGCTTCTCCAATGGAAACACATTCCTGTCATGCCTCACTGCCATTCCCTGTTTATATTTCTCATTACAAACAGTGCTACATCGGCCGGGCCGGGCCTGCTCACCAGACACCAGACGCTGCATGCCTGGTGCTCATGCCGGCGGGGTGACAGGGACCTGCCAGCACCCAGCCACCACCGGCTCCAGCAGCCATTACAGGCAACTCGTTCCTCAACACCCACCAGTGGCTCCGGTCATTACCCCTTCTTGTTAAAACCCCCCACAAAAAGAGTAACTCTCATCTTCGGTACCGTGGAAGGAGTCATTTTTAAGTGAAGGAAATCAGAACAATTAATTGCTTGAGTTAATTTCAGTAGTCATTATTGCCATAGACAGAAAGGAAAATTAAACAAAACTAAGTGTGACCCCTGCTGCATCTCCAGTGTTGACAAAGAGATAAGTTTCTGCTGAAAGGTTTTAGGTCCCACTTCTTAACACGAGTGTGATTATTAAGAAGAGAAAATAATCCTTTGTGCCTTCTAAATGTGACATACAGAACATTACATGAATATTATATAAAATAGAAGCATAAAATATAATGATAAAATATTATAAAGGAAATACACAGATGGCTAAGCAGTACTGTTCTACAGTGTCTATTGTCATGCTAAAATTTTAGTTTTGAAATCTGTTTTTAGTGACTCTTTATTTGGAGAATCATACCAAAAAACTATAGCTGAAATGTTATATATCCCTGATACGATATTATGCCAAACAGACATGATGGTGTGAAATAGGCTGAAAAAGTCATCGAAACAGACAGCCAAATTTCCTTGATGCTCCATAGGAAATGCATTTAATTACATCACACAGTACAAATTTATCATGAAAAGAAAAGCGTTTAGGGTTAGACAAAATACTGTGGCAGATACTATTTGGATAACTTCCAAGCACGCTGAGATACATTTTCAGTTTGACCCACAAGCTTCTGTTCTTAATTTCTAAAGAAAAAAAAAAAAAAAAGAAATGAAGAAAGAAAAAAAAGAAGGGGGGGAAGAAGTAAAAAAGAAAGAAAGAAATCAAGTAATTGGAAATGGATGCAACTGCTACTCGACTCTGGAGGTTCTGAAGAATTTCTCTGATTAGTCATTTGAAACAGAAAGAAGCTTGATCTTCTCTACACCTGTCAAATGTCTTCGACATTACTGTTACAATAATATTATATTTCAAGCTACTAAAGTGATCTTATTTTTCAGCATACTGGACCTGAATTTCTTGTTGTTTTGATTAGTTTTATGTGCATGCAGCACAACTAATGAAAATAGTTTGTATTCACAATAGAGCTGAATAAGAAGACTGGATTTTGCTTGCAAAGTTTAGAATAGCAGTAACAACATCACACTGTGTTTTCATCTGAGAAACTCAAAATCTTGTACAACCACAATTAAGAACCATCAGCTTGATATGGGGTGATTTATTATATTTGTTTTGCAGATTGGCACCCTGATATTTAAATAAATTAAGCAGCTTTCCTGAAGACACCCACAAATCAACAGGTAACAAAGAAAATTACAAGAAATGAGAAAGAAGCCAAGTAGTAAAGAACAAATAATGATGTGTTTAACATTAGGCAGATCTTCAGGTTGTCTCTCTATTCCTTTAAAGCAACTATGAATGAATTTTCATCTTTAAAACAAGGCGATAAATAGGTAGAGGTCATTGGTTAAATCAATTTAATCAAACAATAATAAAGTTTGAAAAATGCTGTGTAGAACTTTAAATAAAGAAGTATCAACAAGAAGGCTAAGAGGGAGTACTTCCTTACCATTTTTATGTCTAGGAAATTAAGGTTAGCATGAAGGAGTGGCTGATGAAAATGATTCAATGGCAGCTGCTTGGTACAACAGGGCACGAGCAGGAGCCTGCATTCTCAAAGGGACTATGATTCATTTTCAGGAAGGCCGATTAAGTTAAAATTGTAACCACAGCTTGAGAGTACACACCCTTCAAGACAGTTGTCTGCTCTGACACATGAGACGGCAGTCTCTCCAGCCGCCGAATGCTGAGTATTGGCCAGGATAAAGCATTTATCATTTTCTGCTTTCAACTGAGTGTGAGGAGACTGAGCAGGGACAATAAGACCAAATGTCTTCCACTGAAAAATTTCCCTTAAACCACTTCAATGAATGATACATAATTTTACCCTGACTGGAAGTAAAAATGGGCAATCAGGAAGCAAAACAGTGTTTCCTGAGGAATTTTCAAAAATGACCACCTGAATGTATACAGGAAATTCAGGATATTTTAGCTGATCTCCTGGGCATGGCACATGTAATGAATCATAAACTCTCAAAGCCAGGGGAAGCCAACTGAAGCTGCGTACCTTAGTGCACAAATATTATAATACAAGAAAACTAACATAAACGTATAACTAATTACCCCAAAAAGGCACAGCATTACAAGAGTAGATGCCAAATTCTATTTCATATTCATGCAAAATTAAGACTGACTTTATGAGAAACATTGCATGAAGCACAGCTTTGAAGAACTTTCATCACACAGCCAATGCTTTAGTTGTAATGACTGGAAAATGCCATCTTACTCAATTTTATATCTCTGTTAGTTGTACGCATTGCCTTAAATGTTTCAGGTGTTTAAACAGATTTTCTTTTAGTGTTACTCAATGTTTACTTCGCAAATTGCAGTTGAAATGCAGTGATATAAATGGCTGGCCCATTAGAATTACAGCTACTAGCTGGTCCAGTTGTCAAGCTGTATATGAAATGCAGCTATGTAAAATCCTACTCTATATGCTTTTCTTTATTCCTGTGAGATGAAATGGCTGGATTTTATACAAGTAAAGGGAATAGGATTAGGCACTGTGGTTTCTGGTTCTACTTCATGTATATATCATATATATCTGACAGTGTATCTAGATGCTGAGTATGCATGAATTTTTGACAAATGCGAAGCTTTCTCAATGACAGACTATGAAAAACTCAGATGAAATTTTATGAGACTGTTTTTATTCTTCAAGTGCTTTCACACAGCCAAAGAATTCAGTTAAAACCCTATCTTGATTAGGACTTTTTTTCAGATAAAGTTCAACAAAATTTATGGAAAATGCAGCATTTGTAGCTTAAATGTAACACAGAATCTTCAGGGCATTTTTCCTGCTTAATTATATATGTTTTCATTTAAGAGTTCTTTAATAAAATTGGCAGGGTAGGAAAAGGTTCTAAATATTTAAGCAAATAAAAAACATTTTTAAAGCATCAAAATGTCACTTTTTAACTATGAGCACACTACACATTATCAAAAATCCTATCACTGCTGCAGCTCTTCAAAGAAGGATTGTGCATGATAATGCCAAGAGCCAGAAAACATGAGCCCTATTTGAATGCTGACTTTCTAACACACATATGGATTTAGTTCTCTCCAAGTTTCCTCAATGAACACTGTAGGCTGTAGGCTTTTTCAAGCACATCTAGTGTAGCTCAATCACTGGCATGTGTAGCAAAGCTAATACTCTGTAAAGCTACAGATGATAGAAATTAAGCTACCTGTCCCTGAAGTGGATGTGGAGGCATTAAATAGAAGGGAATGACTTAAGTGAAAAGAAATGTAGGCAACTTTTCCTGACTGAATGCAACTAATATTTCAAGCCCTGTGTGCAGAAATTCCCTGCTTTGCACTGTGAAAAGAAGTTGATATGATTGTTTCCTGCAAGAAATATCTGTGTGATAACTTGACTTTCACAATTAAGACTTTAAACACAGTGAAAACAAGCTAAGCCTTGCAGCACAGACATTTCAGTAGATAGAAAGCTTGTACCATAACCCCTCATGGATGGAATATTTCTTATTAAGGAAGATGAACTAGAAAGTTTGAAAGTTACCAACTCCTCATTCCATGCTTAGGAAGCAGCATGTGTATGTGAAGGTGGAGAGGAAGAATATTGAAATACATCTAAGAGAGATTTTTTACTTAAAGGCCTTTCTGAAATCACCACATTTGCTAAAACTGAAATGTTACTTGTTACCTGCTATTTATGTTATCTTGAGCCTATCTCAGACAGGGAAAAAAGTAGCATGAGTAATAATACTAAATGATTTTTTGAAGAAATCTGTAACTTCCCTTTGTTTGACTTGTCATTTCCCCTGCTAGGTGACCTATTCACTCCTTATCTTTTGCTTCAGGCCTTTTTGCCCTGGAAACCTGCTGAGACCTGTTTAATGCTCACTGGGTTCACTAAAGTTCTGCTGAGAGATAATACAGTCTGACGCACACTTCCATTTTTCACACCCTGCATGATGTATTCATCTGTGTGAGTTATTTCTCTTTTTTAAATAATTATTGCAAACTCAGACATTTCCTTAAATGCACAACCACTGATAACTATATGCAATATAAAAAAGAGTCCAAGTTTCTGCTTTGAGATGGATTTTGACAAAGCATCCTAGAGCCTGTCCTCTCTCTCACACACACACACACATGTACACACAACTTGCAGTTTAGCATAAATCTAGCTTCCACAGTGGAATTCTGATTTCACTTCTTAAAGGAATTAAAAATATACTGAATCACTTATCCTGCTCCAGATTCTCTGCGCAAATGCTGCCATCATAAAAATCAAAACCAGTCCTCCTAGAGTTACCACATGTCCCTGCCAGAGATGCTCTACTTCTTTTTTTTCCTCTGAGAATTATTCAAAAATGCAGTCTGTCATTTACCTGTTCATGTAAACTTGACCTGCAATGATCCTTTGATAGCATTGTTTGTGTTCTATATGTACAATATCCTGGACAGCAAGCTAAAAAGTAGTAG